TCCCTGGGGTGGTGAAGGTGTCTACACAGGTGTCCAGTGAAAACCTGTCAGAACATAGAGGCAAAACAAAGGGATTGTATTCCTCTATTTATATTTCTGTTTTAGAGACTTCACACAAGCCCTTAGCAGGTATTACTGTTTGGAGAACATTTTCTGCTACACAGTTTGAGACAATATATAGTAAAACATCCAAAAATCTTTAACATTAAATGTTTCAACTGACTTTTCTTCACAGTCTGCCTGAAGCCTCATAGATGCTGTAAAGTGAAGGCAATTCCTAGCCACTTGCGTACACTTTATACATTGAGTGTTGTAGTACAGGTACTGTGTGTTGTGAACAAGAATATTCCTTGCTTTGCCTTAGCACTTTCACTACATTTAACTTGGATTTTGGCTTCTGGAGGCAGAAACATAGATGGTTGGATGGTCTCACTGCAGCTAGAAAATGCTGCTACTACATTAGAAACCATTTCTTTCACTGGCATCATGAATCCTCATCACGGTACCATTTATACTGAGCTTTCTAGCTGGTGCCAGGGACCTGGGGGGGGATTTTATCCTAAGGGCTGAAATTTCCAGTGCAGATTGCCTCTATCATAGCTGTCACTTGCCAGTGTGTTTTTCAGTGGGGACTTGGGGAATGCCAAAGTTTAAAAAAAAACTTGTTTGAATGTCTACAGTAAATTATATAGAGAGACAAATTCAATTATTGTGGAAAAGGTGGTGCTGAGGATGACCAGGCTAACTGGCAGGTTAGCATGAAGTGTTTATATAGCCAAGATAGATAGAAATATGATTATATTCATACAACAGCAAATACCATGTAAGTACTGTGTAGCAAACACTCATCAATCATTATTTATTTTAACCAAGAACACAATAAAAGTGCAGACAAGTGCAGAGAAGCTGTTCACTCCTAGAAAGAAGTATCCATGAGATGTGAAACTGTACCTCTATAAATGAAAGCAATAATATTTTGCTGTCAGGTATTGGGGAATAATACATCAAATAAATTCTCAGAAACAGCTTTCCAACTGTGAAATACCTGTGAAATACAGTAGGTGAAAATTACAGTAAGCAGAACCCCTGATTTATCCAGTGTAAGTTAGACAACTGTCTATTTTTCAGGTTATACAGGAAAGAAAGATTTGCATTAACAAAGAGAGATTCTCCATTGTTTAATGGAGAAAAGAGCACCAAAGAGCAATAAAAGGCTATCAAACTAAGAGGTGAAAGTTTTTTATCTGGAAAAAGAGAAAAATGCTGGGCATATCATTTCAAAAACCTGGCAAGATACTACAGTCATAACTGCCAAAACAGGCATTTCTGAGAGCTGCCCAGATGCCAGGGGGTGTGGTAAAGGTTGAAGTTAGTCAGTAACACATGCAAAGGAAGATCTAGAATATATTTTAAAAAATTGAATATAATCAAAAAATAGAATATGTTGATTGGACAAGTATTCACTCCTTTTATTATGTTAATTCTAAATAAGTTCAGGTGCACAAAATTACTTTTACAAGTCACAAAAATTAAAATAATTAATAATTAACATGGCCAATGGAGTCTGCAACAGAGAATGTAAGTCATACTGCAAACATGTGGCAAAAGCTTTTGTGGTCAGAACAGACAGAAATTGTAACATTTTGTCTCAATGCAAAGTGTTTAAGGAAAGCTCATCAAGGTTGAGAAGAAAATGGATTTAGCAAAATACAAGCAAACCTCAGAGGAAAGCCAGCTTCAGTTTGCTAAGGACCTAAAATGATGATGAAAAATACTTATTGAATCTATTAGTCTGGATTTTTCTTTGCAGTTTTTGCTTTACTGTGTGTTCTTTCACTCATAAAAGTGTTCAGTCTGAGCATTCAAAGTTTTGATAAATAATTGTTCACTTTTAAAAATATGTTTGATTTGTAATTCAACAAAAGTGGCATGTTGCAAGAAGGTGAATACTTTTGCAAGGCACTGCATGTGGGTTATGCGTCTGCTTTATCCACCTCCTAAACCTCCATATTTCCTCTTGCTTCCCTGAGCTTGCACATGGTACTGGTAAAATTCCTCAAAAGACTGCTGTAAACATTCTGCTCCCACGTTTACAAGCTGGAGCCTGTTCTCTAACTGAGAGAGGCCAGCAACCTGTGCACCAGGGAGGCAATAGACCATACAAGACGTCTTGTCACTTCTTCACATACAGTATGATGAGTGGACCAACTATTGGCCTATCCCTGCTGGGGTTCAATCCTGGTGGGTCCCCAAATCCGAGCTTGCACAACATCACTCCCTGATAACGCCATGCCAGAAGACCAGGTCCTCTTCCACAGCAGATGTTTATGCTGTTTAGATTTCAGAGGGGAGTGACATCATGTCTGATGTCTCTCAGTGCACTGAGTCCTCATACACACAAATTAAACCATCTGTATCTCTAATAGTGGAGTCTCATTCTATCAATATGTATCATCCTAGATGTCCAGGGGCCCATCAGTCTTCCTATTTTTCTCCAGGCTGTCAATATCTATACCTATCTTCACTAAGGCCCTGGAAGCAGCTGTCAACCATGAAGCTTGGAAGCTCCTGCCAGTATCATTAATGGATAGCTCTATACCTCATGCAATGCAATGAACCCTACAACATCACCAGCAGCTGTACTGTAAGCAAATGGAAAACTGGCCCAGAGTATTGAACTATTCTAACTACACTTGTCCCTTGCTATCTGAGCTCAGTTGGTTCCAAATATTTTGGTGGTACTCGACACTAAATTCCCATTAAAATACATTCCTGTGATTCATTCCAAGTGTTCATAAACTAGTTGAGTTGAATAGTTTGGCATTATAAACTGCTAAGTATATGCTCTAAGAAGTTGAATGTACCAAGTCTACATTTGTTTAAATGTATTAGGAATCAGTTACTGTAGGTGGACAAATTGTTATGATCTCTGTAGTACACATGAACAATAAGTATGACACAGACTAATCAGAATTTCTCACTAAAAAACGTTTATTATGCATATAAATCTTGTGCAGTCAAAGAGATAACACCTAGAACTGTAAAAGATACCGAGCATTCATAGTGTGCAAAAACCAAAATAAAACTAAAGACAAATCATTTAAAAAGTTATTAATCAATATTAATTTGATAAACTATGCATTCAAAATGTTAATTGACACTATAACTAGAATAATACCTTTACAATTTCTATTAAGATGACAACAGCTGACAAGAGTGAAATATACAAATGGAAGAACAAGCTACATACTTGGAGCTCATATTAGCAGCAGAAGTTCACTCATCTAACAAAAACAGGTACAGTACAGTATATTTATGTATCACTCAATTCAGCTCGTACTCTTAAGTAACATGCTCTTTTAACACGGCATGAGTGTACTAAAAATCTGTTGTCAGTAGTTGGTAGTTGGTTTCTGTGGAGTCATTGGAAACATTATCAGCAGCTTTGCCCTGAAGTGTTATTGCCTGTTATCCTGACCAAAATCCTGACTAATGTATTATCCATTGTAGGCCACATCCAGTGGTCTGAAGCAACCATTGATCTCTTAGAAGAGAAATCAAAGGCCTATATGTTGGAATAGACAGCTCAACAAGAAAATAAATCAATTATATAAAGACGAGCAAAAGCTTGACAACCTAAACAGAGCTGCCCTCACTACACAACACAGTCAAAGATTTCATCCATATCCGGATTATTCATGAGCAAGTTACAAGAGAATACAGGCCGACCAAGTGACTGCAGAGAGATAGGATCTATCCAATGAATTTAGAGGTACCTCAGTTCTCCATCAAAGTAAAATAATATGCTTGAGATGGACTTCATGAATTCTACTTAAGAGTGTCTTTGAAAGTTTGAAGACAATACTACATATCAGAAAACAATTATTCTGGTTACACACCCACAACTTTTCCTTATTTTCAGGCTTGTGAGTCACAGAGGGCAGCCAGACCTTGTCAAGCACCATTATCAAAACTTCAGCTGGCCAGCCCAGGGGTTAGGGTTAGGGTTAGAAAAGCTGTATGCTGTATTCCCTCATTTGACGATGTCCCACCTTTGTAAAAGAACTCAGAATACCCTGAGATAGAGATCTGCTAGTGGTCTGGGAAAGCAACCAGCTAAGACTTTCCCTGCTTGCTTGGCATTACCTACGTACTGTATTCACACCCGTTCTGTCCCTGGAAAGAGGATTTTCTCAATCTCTAGTGCTGACACTAGTCTGAGAGAACTAGACTGCTGACAGCTATTTTGGTGTGTTAAGTGTAACAGCTGTTTGGTGCAAAGCTGAAAAGGCATTAGAATGTGCCTTAATGACTTCACCATGTGCATGTTTTTGTTTATTCATCTTGCGCAATCACTGTTTGGGTTCAATAAAAATGCTACAGGATGAATGACTACTGCAGTTTTGTGATATACTGTACCTGTCTACAGTATATACAGTAAATCTATCTTGCGTGCATTACACAGCTCCACCAGAAGTTACATGTCTGCACAAATGATCATACTCATGCACTTGTAAAGTCCTGTTGTACTGCCAGTAAAATACTCAAGTGCACTTGCAGAGGATTTAAAAAGACACAATAACACAATTCTGATGCTATTTTTTTTAATACCGTAGATATTGGCGGTCAAAATATAATAGTCACCCCCTCCCTTAAAATAAGATGAAAAGGTTTCGCACTATCATTCATATGAACTGAAAGCACGTATCGTAAACACGTTTTACACTATTAAAAGAAAAACGAAAACTTGTCCCCATGTGCTCATTGAAGCTTTAGAAAGGCTGGTGACAACTGTCCTGTTTAATGTTCGGAATTACGGCTTTTCTGCGCGTTTCACTGAGGAGATTTTAAGTTACTTTAGGAAGGTCATGAAAAAAGAATATAACTGCTCAAAGGCTCAGACTTAGGAACGTACAACTGTACTTTCCACGTCCACACTTCCTGCCAACAAGGCTGGGAGCTGAATACTAGCGGCCGTAGTTTACAGGGCAGGGAGCAAGTGCGCTGATTGGTTGAGCTGAAAAGACACTCCTGCGACCGATTCAGGAACACAGCTCAACTCACAACACTCTGGGAATTCAAGCAGGTACGGTTGCATTTTCTGAAAATAAGAGCCTTTTCCATCAATATGTATGAGCCTTTTACATGCTACTGCACGTAAGGGATTATTTTGCTTCAAAGGCATACATCGTACGCCACTTTTGCTCACGGAACAAAAAAAAAAGGGAGCTGTGCAAAGAAAGGGGACATTTGTACACAAAACCTTTGCTGGGAAATCCCACTTTTTTTGTGTGGTGGTGTCTAATTGGCCATTTTGATCAGAACTCGCATGCCGAGTGGCTCGTTTAGCTGCCTGTCATGTCTATAAGCAGCTGCCAAGTGTTTCAGAAAGATTAGTAGGCAAGCTTGCTTTGTTGTCAGAGGTTGCAGCAACAGTCAACAGTGACGTACTGTACTGTACAGTGGGGATGTCAGGAACTTTAAAATTGCACTTTAAAACGTATAATGAAGACTTCATTTACGTACACACACTGTAGATATCTCGACGTATTATTCCCAGCTGCTGAAACGCTTTTTTTTAAATTAATCTTCATTTGAGTATTCAGTTGACGGTAATCATCTTGATTTGATAATTAGAATATTCAAATATAAGTCCCATCACAATGATTATATGCGGTTTCCATTTCTCGTGCTTATTACAGTAGGAGGCATTCAAAAATCAAAATTAGGGTGATTCCTGCAAAGAGTGCCGCTGTTATTCGTTCATGTACTACTGTATAAGCCTAACAAATGCTGGTCCGATAAACATCTTTTAAGGTTCTTTTCTGCATTCTTTCACCTATAATGCTGTTGTTTCCTGTTGATAAAAATGCAGCATTATTTTGTAACCAATCCGAAATGTGGACAGTTTTCTGAAATTAGAAATACGCTTCATGCCCAATCAAAATATGAACATACTGAGATATACAGGAAAACTAAACGAAGGATGCAGGACGTGTGATGTAACCTTCCTGATCTGGAACTACATGTACTGTGTAACTCCATGTAGGAAACGGGCTCAGCGATGTCGTCAAGTCACTGCTACAGACAAAACTGTGTGAGTGTGTGTAGCTGCTGATTGTGACTTGTGCTTCAGAATGTGAACTTTTCTCATTATAAAAATGTAATAAAACAACAGGGTAGCCTGACCGGGTGGCACAGTTCAATTCGAGACCTTGGTTGCTATCTGCGTGGAGTTTGTATGTTCGTCTCGGGTTCTGGGTTTCCTCCCACAGTCTGAGGACATGCTGATAGGTTAATTGGCTTCTAGGAAGATTGCCCCCTGGTGAGAGTGTGTACGTGTTTGTGTCTGGGACCGGTGTCTTGTCCAGGCTGTACCCTGCCTTGAACCCATTGGTTGTCGGCTCCAACACTAACATTAGGGCTCTGGCTCCTTAATTGGCTGAAGCCCATAGAAAACGTATGGATGGGTGGTTCTTTTAAAATTTTGCCATTGCTGTTCTTGGCAGTGTTTTAGCAATCAGTGTAGTTCTTTTACTGTACGGAACATAGCGGAAGGCACTACTTTAAGTATTATCAGGTTAGAGAGGTTTTGTGGGATGATTAACTCGAACTTTGTATTTTGGTCATTGGGGAAAAAATAATTCTGTACAGGACGTAGAAGATTGATGACAATGTCAGTTTTTAGCTGTCTGGCATTTTATGTCTACCTTAAGTTAAATTCAGCAGGCCTTGTGCTGTAAATTATTTAATCACATGAATATGCTAAATGGACACATTAACATGCAATCCTTTGATATGGTTCTGAAATAATTTGCAGAAATGTTTCTGATAAATTGAGTTAATTATCACTGGTGTTGGGAAACAGATGTACGCATGTCCTTACTATACAAAGACCAGCTTGTTCATTCAATAAATATAAATAATCTTTGTATTCTGATATGGTTCAGGAAAGGACTATATCAGACTTCCCAGACTGCAGAACTGAAATCTGCTTATGGCACAGAGAAGTACATTTACTGGTTGGGATGGATTCACAGCAGGTTCGTTGGATGCACACCTTGTGATTGGCCAATGGTTTAGTTACAGGTCCCTGTGTGAAATATGATCTGGACCACTGGAGAATTGGTCACAGCTGATGGTCTGTAAAGGAACTAGTCTGCCAGACAGAATCAAACAGGCACATTTTACACACACAGTCTAATCTCTCACCATGAAGAGCTCATGGTACTGTGATGTGTAAAGTAAACTGATAAAAGAAGTATTCCGTTGTTATATTGGCAGTTTTTAGTAAATATTTCCTGTGCCTTACTGCTTCTTAAAACATATGATATATCAGCAGACAAAAACGTTAACATTTTTGTATGTTTACGTGTGTTTCATGCTGATTTTATTTGCTCTTTTCTAGACAAAATGTTTGTCTAAATGTTCCAATATTTTTAAAAATGACTTGATTTTAATCTGTTAATATGTATAGTATGTACTGTATGTGAAAAATAGTTTCAAGCAGCACTCCAATTAATCTGGTAAGTATTATGTGCACTTAAAACACATAGAAAATTCACTTGATTGGATATTTTTTTTTATCTTTTTTGATATGTGGGAGCATGAGAAAAGAGATACTTTTTGCAATCAACTATTTTGTGTGTGAACACTATTTTGTCTGGGAACACTTTGGGTCCTTATTGATTCTAGTGACATTTAGTTTACACTCAAGTTTGTGTTAAAGGTTGGCCACATCATTTTTAGTGTGCAACAGCAAAGTAGATACTAAAGGAGCTCTTTAGCAGTAATTGACCAGAAGTATGCTTCTGTCAAGCATGTAACCATAATTTAATGTTTTTGTTGTGTCTGACTTAATTTAGATATGCACAGCTGTTAATATCATTGACAAACCTGGACAATCTTGTTGGAATCAAATTAAGACTAGATGAATCAGTCTGTACTTTAAGTATTTAAGTATTTGAGAACCTTTACCTATTTTTAGCATTTTAATTTAAAAAATGCACTCCTTTTGTTTGCAATCACAGCTGCATTTACGGTGGAAATTCTGTATAAGTAAGTACTATAGTATTAAGTAGTCACTCTTGTGGCTGGGTCAGATGACTGAAGATACCAGTCATTTTCATTTGTTGCCAGTGAATTTTCAAACCTCCTTCTTTTTAAGTCATTTACTTTAGTCTGGTTGTGTGTTTAAGGTCATTTTCAGTTTAGGAAATAAGCTGTTCAACCAAAAGACAAGTTGATGAATTTTAGAGTTTTGCTGGACTTATTTTGAAACTTTGGAATTAAATTTAATTTGCCAATTAATTAAACTGTGTAATTAAAGGGTACTGTAATACGATTCACATGACATATATGCTGATGCATCTTGTCATCCCGTCAGAGGCTGTGATGTGTTCAGGAGGGATGATTTCAGATTATTGGTAAATCAGGAATTGGAGTGATGGAGTGAGAGCCTAATCGTTTCTTCTTGCAGTAGGTTTGTGAACCATCTGTTGCTTTCAAGAATATGCCTTGTAGTTTGTGTTCAAGAAAATCATGATGTTTAATATAATTAAAGTAAAAAAAAAAACTTGTTTATAAATGTTGACTTGTTTCTTTAGCAACAAGCACACTTGTTACTTCAAATGGAAAATACATCGAAATGCATTTAAAACAGGAGGTATTTCTTTACACAAAGGGATGCGGGAGTATGGAACAAGTTGCCAATGAATACTGCAGGAGCCAATGACACTGGCTTCATTCAGTACATTTCTGCATACGATCCTTGAACCAACTACAGTAATTACTATCAAACCGGGTAGATATGCTTAATAGCCTCCTTTCATCTGTAATCTTATGTTCTTATGTCCTAAAGATGGGCGGAGCGGTGGCTCTGTGGCTAAGGATCTGCGCCTGTGCCTGGAAGGTTGCCGGTTCAAGTCCCGCCGCCAGCAGGGGAATCCTACTCTGTTGGGCCCCTGAGCAAGGCCCTTAACCCTAACTGCTCCAGGGGCGCCGTACAATGGCAGACCCTGCGCTCTGACCCCAAGCTTCTCTCCCTGTCTGTGTGTCTGTGTCTCCATGGAGAAAAGCTGGGGTCTGCGAAAAGACGAATTCCTAATGCAAGAAATAGTATACGGCCAATAAAGAAACAAACAAAAAAAGAGTTTTTAAATTTCTTAATTGATTAATTCCTTCCCTTTTTGCTAAACCATTAAAAAAGATAGGTGACTATAGGAGGAGAATAGCTGGTGTTGTGGCTTGATCATGGTCTTCTTTGGCTCAATTTGCCGCAGAATTATGTCTAAACAAATTATTGGGAATGCCAAAGAGCTCCTTTTCAGCTCTTCACTGTTTCACTCATTGATTCCTATGATCTCTCTAAAACTTACAAAAAGGCAGAGAGGGTGAGTGCCATTTTAATTTGCTTTTCATTTAATAAACCTTCTTTTGAAAAGGATAAAATAGCTGTTAGAATCAAAATACATAAAAAAAATCCTTGCAAAAGTATAATTAATGTGCCAGTAAACTAAAAAGATGAGAGATTAGAGAAGTTGGAGGAGATTTGGTCACACAAATTATTAGACCTATTCAGTCAAAATCCGCATGAAGTCTCAGACATTGTTCTGAAAGTGTTGTTTTGTTTGCTAAAATATGGCAAATAGGCTTTCATTTTATCTTCTGTCACATACTGTGTTATACACGTACTGAGACATACAGCTTCACATAACATTGTTATTGCCTTTTATTGTCATGGTCCGGATACTTAATAATCATTGTCCATTAGTTGTGTACTATACCAACACTGTCAATGAGAAATCAGTAGAGTACATTGGATTTAAAGAGCTTGGAAGTAATGCCAAGGCCACTGATAAACAATCATTGTGTTCACCAACAAAGCAGTGACAAAATACATGAATACATCTGTAAATGCTTAAATGCTCATTTAATGATAGTTTGCTAAAGTATCTTTGGGAGAAAAAGTATGATTTAGTGACCAGACCTAATTGATTTTATTGTATATTGGTACAGTATATTACTTTTAATATGAAATGATGTGTTTTAACAAGATGCATAGGGAATAGACAGAAAAAGAAAAACCATGAAGACTAAACATCTTTAAAAAACTCATGCCTTTTATTTGGGCATTGTGTGTGATCTGTCAGTAGAGTTCCATATTGAAGTCAAAGTTTAATAGTTTAATCACAAAGAGCTTGTGTTTACACTAGCTCATCCGTTACATGTTGGTTTAAAACTGTGAGGATCAAGGAAAAGCTGGAGGTGCTAATTTTGAAATCTTGAGTTTTAATCGCTTGCACACAGAAACCTATCTACCATCGTAGGGTTTCTTTTAAGCAATTTTATTCCCAAATCAGGCCTTCAAAGCTATGCCGTACACAGCCCCAGGCTGTTTTGTGCCTTCTACCTTTATTTCTAGCAAAACCCCATGATCGTGAATTTTAAGCTTGTAGAATTGGGTTAGGTGTACAGTTTGGATACAATCAATATCATCTAAGTAATTAAAGATTAAGTAGAGAAGAAACATTTTTGGAAGTTTGATTAAACATATTGGATTAACATGATGGAGCTCTAAGGAAGGATTATTGTTTTTTTTTACAAAATGTGTCCAGCAAAAGAATATCTTAACCCAATATTCATGGAACCCAGTGGTATAAAAGCAGTCTTCTCTAAAACAGTTTGATTTGTTCTTTGTCAGGCTGATTAATAACAGTTCTTCACAGTGCCTTCTGTATTGCACAAATGTTTCTTTGCAGAATACCCTCAACTGTGTTTTTTCAAAGGAAATTGTGCTTAATAAGATCTTTAATTCATATTGCTGGTGTTTCAACATAAATGGACATTTCAAGAGCATTAGGACACCTCTTTGCTTTGGAGTAAACCTAGATTGAAGGCATTTGAATATATTTGTATTATGCATTATGAATATTGTATTGATTATGTTAAAATACGATAATATATGGTACTAAATCCCTCTCGGATTATTTATAGTCATATGAGTGCAACAGAACAGCATCTTCACATCGGCCTCAAATAGAATGAACAATTAAGGTAAAATGACAAAATAAGCACTACTCTTACCCATGTGCAGAGTGTTGCAAGAATTAGACATGACAAGCAGAACAAGCTCTGTTGCCATTCCATAATGTGCAATCCTTTGGATTAACTGCACTTTTACGTGTAATAATTGTACTTCAATCAAGTAATAATGGTAATGTTAAAAAAATGTACTTTTACTGCATAATGTTTTGGACTCAGTATTTAATAATAATAATAAAAAACTTTATTTTATATAGCGCCTTTAAAGGTGGCTTCTCAAAGCGCTAGCTATTTACTAGAATTATATATCTTATTTTAATTATTTATAGCGTACTATAGTATGTGCAATACTTTACTTTTGGCACACTTGTAAAACAGCATATTCACCCACCTGTATTGCACATGCTATATACAGTAGTGTACAGAAATCAGTATTCAACTACAGTCAGATAACTGCATTAGATCCGCATCCTCATATTAACACACAGTACTGTATACTGTAAGATATAAGCAGTAATTCAGGCTAAAACACTGAAGGTCACAGTTTAAAATAATGTAATTATGAGTTAAGACATACTGTAAGCTACATACCTGTACTGTAGTGATAGATACAAGCATTTGTATATTTGTGTCTTGATTTGTCTGTTCCTAAAAAAATATTGAAACATTAATGTGGTTTTCAGTTTGCTCTTGTGGTTTTGAGAGTCACGTACTTACAGCACATGAATTTGTTTTGCTCTGGAGGAAGCGAAATATTGTCCTTGCAGAGAGGATTTCAAACTGGACAGATATGCCTATCTGAACAGAAACATTCAGGCTTGCTTTACACTGTTGTTTAGTACTGTACTTTATTTGTACAGCATATCCTTTGTATTTTTTTCATTTGTACAGCAATTACAATAAAAATATTGTTTTCATGCATGTATAGGATTATGACCATTATCTGCAGCTTTTCTCAATATTTCTCAATATTTTATGTTTATTTTGTGTTGGGGGGGGGGTCAGGCCTAAATTCTAGGTGCATTCTGTTGTTAATAGTGTATAGCATGTCTCCAGCAGTTTATTTTAAACCACTTTGAAAGGAGGCATTTCTAAAAAAACGTTGTATTTTTCATGTGCGTATTGTTTCTGATAATCCCAGTATTGTTTATATAAACACGATTGTTCTTGGAATGGAGTCTCTTTTTGGAATTGTTAAAGGGCTGCTAGTAATGTAAACTGTGCTATCTTGTAGCATGTGATTCTGCAAGGAAGGATTACCACGTAAATATAGTTGGCACAATGAATTCTCACAAAAAAAAACATAGTATAAGCATGCCCCAACAGCATTGACAGATGCAATGTAATATTTTATTTAAATGACTTAGAAACTTTGATTTCTGTGAATTTATTCAGATTAAAAGTTGGCGTTTGTCGAAGCTTTTTTTCTTCCATGAAGAGTTTTGTTTAAGGAAGGCAATGAAGTGTGTTCCCTTGGGGTAGGAACTGCTAACACAACCTTTGTTCAAAAGAACACGCTAATATGGATCTGCAATTCCCTGTCCACATCCACCTCAACACATTTTAAATTGTTCCTGCTTTTTTATGCAAATCCGTCTTATTAGACACTGCGGCAGAACGCGCTGATGTCTCCCAGAGATGCCGCAGGTTTATTTTGTTCAGAAATCAAAGCGGTAAGGGGAGAAATTTGGTTTCTAAATTGTTTCAAAGAGATTAGGTCAATGAATTGTTTCATCATCTGAAACTGGGATCTGTCGTTGTGTAATGTATAGGTTCAGAAGGTTCGAAAGACATTATTTTTTATCAAAATCCTAAACAAACAGTGAAACAAGATACAATTAAATACAATCAAAATGCAAGTGCAAAATTCAGTTTTTCACAGCACCGCACACTCCTATGAAAGCGGGTTTTGAGATTTTTTAATTAAAAAAACACCTTTCACAGGGCTTTCTAAATAATTTTTCTTTTCTTTTTTGGACTATAGAGACAGTTTGTTTAAAAGATACTCTGAAACAGATATTCATTGATGTTGCCATTTTATTATTGTTTTTGAGCTTTACTTATGTTGCCTAAATCAGAGTTGCTATGGTAATCAATTTCTGAAATCTCATTGCTGCATAAAAGAGTGGTGTTAAATGAAACTGAACAGGGAATTTGCCAAAACGTGACCTACATGCAGAAGCAAAGTGCTTGCCAGATTAGGAGGCTGGAAAAGTGGCTTAAATATCAATATCAGTCTCAGTGTATGGAGTATTCACAATAAAAAAAACCTTGTATATGACATTAAATGTTATTTAAAAAAACGTTCAACTACATTAATGAAAATCTTCATCCAATATAAAACTCTGGAGAGCTGAGTGTTTTTCTCAGACATATATTTATTGTGTTAAATTCACATCAATATTATTATTTATTAAATAAGGAAACAGGACAAAAAAGGGTCATGAAACCCCTCGGAACATTTAGTATTAAAATTGAATGTAACAAATGCAATATCCAGTTTTCTTTTCCTACACATGGTTGGACACAGGGTGCAAATAAAAAAAACATGCCTCTTTAAACTGTGCTTGATGTACGTTGAGTATGTATGGCCAGCAATTTAAATGATATGCCTCATGTGGTTTCTTTCAGGCATCAGAGAAAACAATGGGAAAGAAAGATGCAAGTGGTACAAAGTTGCCCATTGATCAATACCGTAAGCAAATTGGTAAGTTAATATACTTATTCTTTGGAAATAATTTTCTGTTGGCTGACTATGAAGAAAGTACAGCTGTGACATAACTCAAATAGCGTATAGCAGCATTATCATTAAGAGTAACACTGTATAAAGATCCCTTGTGATTTTCTGGGGGCATCAGATAATATATACTTAACGTGGGAAGCTTCCAAGAAGAGTTGATGGCAGTGGGCCATCAAAAAGATTATGATGTTTGCTGATAGATGTGTGATCTGTGAGGGTAAACACCTCTGTGTGGGAGCCCCAATAGCAGGAATAATTTTTGTCACTGTTTTTTTTGTTTTGAGACAACATTATCGTGCCTGATCGGCATTTCAGGTCTGTGTCTTGCATTTTTTTTTTTTGCAGTCACATAGCAACAGAAACAAAACAAATTGGCACCCCAATTAAAACATTTGTGGCAGTTGAAATACGTCTACTGGGATAGATGAGAACATGACTGATTGTTTCTGAGAAATATCCAAATACTGTAGTATGATGTGCTAAGTATGTAGTGTGAGGTTGCCAAGACCAAAGCGAGGGCAAATACATAGGAAATACGTATTTCCTTTGCCCCCTTTCTGAGTAATATCTTTTTTTGTGATTGCAATTCAGTATTTTCAGTATTGCAGCAGGATATTCCACCAATATATAAGACAAAACATTGCAGGCAGTACCTTGGCTATTTTTCCATCATTCACATCAGCCCGCTTACTGTACAGAGATATTACTGTTAAAATAGTGATCAGCATAATGATTTACCTAAGTGAGCATAAAAGGAGTTATAGAGTAGTTGCAATTTTTATCTAACATTTGAATTTACTTGCATTGCACATGCTCTGATTTCTACAAGACTGTCAGAACAACTGCTACAAAGAGCTTTCAAGGTAATCACAGAATGCCATTAAATAAATAAATTAATTCATGAATTATCATGGCGTTAATTCATTAACTTCCACAAGCCCCCCTTTAAGACGCTTCATTTGTGATGCCAGATATCCATTACAAGTGTCTTTAAATAAAAATAAAATATTTAAAACTACATCATTAGAAAGGTGAGCACATAAATGGGTAATTTATTCTTTAATTAAAGTAAATTGTGGACAGCATCATGAAAATAAGTATTGTCCCTGGAACAATAAATAGCATCATTGAAAAGGGCATGACACTTTTAAAGTTTTCCTTACACCATTTGTTATATGCTTAAGCTCCACCATTGGTGAAAACTGACATGCTGTGACAGACTTGCTAAAGATTGCTTTCATATGCCAAGTATTTAGAGATCCTCTTAAACTCCATTCAGTCCTTCTGGTATGAAAAGTAAAATTTCTAGCCTTTCCTTCAAAACCAAAGGCTATATCCCAGGGTATTGCAGACGTCTCAGACTGTATAAAGCTTAATGTTAGTTTGGATTGTGCAGGGTATGGGTCCATACTCCCACAACCATTTGTGTAAAGAAGTGCCTCCTGTTCTTGATATTAATTGCACTTCTACTTGTGTCCTCTGGTTTGAGTTTTAATTACAATTCATGCTCATTCTGTTTTGCACTCCTTTATTACAAAACATTTCTCTTGCAATTTCTCCTCACAAGTACCTCTGTCTGTTGAAGGATGATAAGGGTTATATGATATGTCCTTTCTCTGAACAGTGGCAGACTGCTAGCATGTACAATGTCTCTGCCCTCTTTCAGACTTGTGCATCATTCTGACTAGGAGCGCAGTGTGTAAGGCCGGGATTAGTTTCAAGGGAGAAACTGTGGCAGAGAGCCAGTGAAATATTATGCCTTGTTACACAGTATTTTTCTTCTATGTACAATAACCTTTTGCATAAGGCAATATTTAAGGTATATGTTTCTCCCTTTATGTGATTTATATATTTATGTAGGATTTTCCAGCAGGGCATGCTGCCTACTGATTATATGAGTTTCTCTAATCCATCCTAAGTGTTTAGCAATAATTCAAGGATGTTTTGATCCTTGATTCTCATTTTCTTTTCTACTGTGACCTAATTGCAACAGCCCTCATATGGATACATTTAAATGTGTACCTTTTTTTGAGTGGCACAGGCATAAATAATGCTCAGTGGAATAATTAGGGAAGGCATTCATGGAATTAAAGAGAAGAAGCATTTTTTCCCCCAATCAAAGGCAATTAAGCTTTTTGCAGACAACCAAACGACAATAAAAGGTGCAGCTAAAAGAGATGTAAGAGAGTCCATTTGCAGGTGAAAAGACACTCCTTTGAAGTGAAACCTGCTGGATTTTCATTGAAAGAACAACAACAAGGAAAGCCTCTCTGCATGCCATCGTTTGATAGCATAATGTTCTTATAAGCTGCTTATTGTGATGGTCAGAAAATAGCCATGCATTAATTTTTACAGCAAAAAATGTGAATGCTGCTCATTTGCAGCATGAAGATAAGAATAGATAGCTAAAAGGCAACAGGGATAATAATTATAGTAATAATGGGCAAAAATAAAACATACTCTTGTCATACACGTGTTAAATAATCAATTTGTCCATAAATATCAAGTGAAAAAACAGTCAGATACTCTTGTAATGTATCCACATTAAAACCAAAACAGACTGATTGTCTTGTTGTACTTTTAATGATTTATTTATTCAAAAGATGCTGAAATATTCATATGTCAACACAGGCTGGTAGAATCATAGTTTATGTATTTACACCTTGGTGAAGAAGTCTCTGTAGGCTGTTAAGATGTTTTGTGCCAAAACGAAAGCAACCTGTAGCCATGCTAATATTAAATAATCAGTTTGTCCATAAATATCAAAGAAAATAAGGGTCAGATTTTAATGCTTTGCGTAAAAACTCTTGTAATGCATCCACCATCAAAATACTTGGCTAAACGTCTTATTTTACTTTTAATGATTTATTTATTCAAAAGATGCTAAAATATTAATATATCAACACAGGCTGGCAGATTCATAGTTTATGTATTTACACCTCGGTGAAGAAGTCTCTGTAGGCAGTTAAGATTTACAGTATATGGTTTTAATGAAGTGTCTAGTGTCTAGTACGCACTGCATTAAAATAGCACATTACCTTTGTCGTGCTTAAAGCATAAGCTGGCATAATAAACTGTGTTAGAAAAAATAACTGAATAGATCATGTAAAGGTGGAGGAATATTTTAAAGATTGTCATGTGGTCATTGCTTTGATTTTATTGAGTCAGGTGAAAAGCATGTTGTTGATTCTTTAAAAAATCCAGACGTAAAGGACATACAGTAGGGTGATGTAAATTGTGTAAATTTAAATACTGACAGTCTAAACACATGTTCTGTATCTCAAATGTTAAGGTGCATTTCTGTCTTTCATCCAATGGTGCTTGGCAAATTTATGTAGATATTCTTCTGCATATTCTTTGATATTGTTGTGAGAAGTTGTTTTTGTCTTATACAGTTACATTAGTGTCATATAACTACAGTTTTCCTTTAGATGTTTCAGTACTAATACTGACTTTTATTAAGACCTGAAAAAATATCCTCATACTTTATAATTGCTGTGATTTGAAAATCTGCTTCTTTGAGCTGTGTTGTGTCTGTGATGTGTTTGCTCACCAAAATAATTGCATTATTTTTAATGAGAATTGCCATCTGCTGCTCTTATACATCATTTCTTTGTTGCACCAGTATTGTAGTACAACCTTTATAAAATGAAGTGCTCCACCAGAAGCAAGAAGGGTGACAATAGTCAGAGCAAATGCATTTGTTCTTTTTAAATGCTGTCCTCTGATGTACAGTATAGCTGTCACTGTATACTTGTGTGCTGCCCACTTTCTAACATCAGCCAGGCTTGCTACTGGTGTCATTGCCCCAGATTTAGTAGCATACTCAATAAGAAACTGTATCTTATTATGTACTGTATATTAACATATATTATTATGAATATTTTGAGATACTGTATGTTACCAACCTTAAGTTGGTAATAAAGTGCTTAAAAGTGCTTTTGCTCACACACCTACAGGAGGTGTAATAATGTAATAAAATAAACCTTAATCAGAATGGACAGTCTGAAACAGCTCACATATCGAGATATAGTTTTTCCAGGGGTGCCACTCCTCCTAGACTTCACTGTTTCCTTTTGTTAAATTAGCAATAACAATCTCAGGAATGTTAGTTTTGTTTCTGATATTTCTGTGGTTCTCGGAATTATAGAATTTTGTCTGTAATACAACTAATAATAGAAATATTTTCTATTTGAGTTATTGTATTTCCTATGGGTTTTTAACATATTCATTTTTGTATTTTGTTCCTAAAGAATACAAATTGTACAGCATGTACTCCAGTATTTATTACCTGTTCTGTTTAAATCAGTCTGTCCCAATTTGACTTTTGCAAGAACTACTTTTATGTCTGAACAGACATTTAAAAGTTTAAATGGTGTACAATGACTAGTAATTTACACAGACATACATTTGAAAATCGTGTATGATAAGGAAGCTGTTGGCAATGCAAAACTGTAGGAATGAAGAAATCTTCAAAATGCACAAATAGTACAGAAACGGCAATGTGATGATGAAATACAGTTTGCCTCATCTCTATTCTAAAACAAATGCATATGTACTGAATATGATTTGAGACTCAAACCAAGAAAAGCTTTCCTGAAGCTTTAATAAAAGGAGAAATTAGCTGCGTTATCAAAGGTAATTTGAAATCAGAGTGCTTGTTCTAATTGCACAAAGCTATAAAACAGCATGAAACCCACTGCAGTTGAGTTGGTGTTGAGATCTGTTAGCAGTGTTGTGAGACTTGCACTCATTTTTTATTTTTTTTTACTACTGTGGTGATCAATGGTTATTGTATATGACTTTGTGAAAAAAAAAGTCCCCAAAGAGATATTTGACAGTAGATTTATTTTTATCATCTGCTGTTTTACATCCTCCGACTTTTGTATAAGTGAAATACAAAGCTGTGGACTGTAAAACCATAAGCGATATTAATCCGCCTCACAGGAGCAGCCCTGTGTAGCCCTGTGTTGCACTGTGGATTACTTCATATAATCCTGCCTTCCCTTTTTTATACCCGGAAGAAATATGTTTAGCATATGGAATGCATTATTGGAATCCTTCCTTTAGCCAAAGATATGATTAATAGCCTACCAAGGAAATCTTGGGACTACTGTAGATGTTCTGTGAATGCCAGTGATCATAAAGCTGCTTAATACATGATTGATAACGTCACAGTATTTCAGGCTGTACTGTACGTGATAAAGATAACGGTTTTGGAAAAGATCGCTCATGTAAACCCAATGATACTTTCTAAATAATCAATGTGCTTTGCATATCTGTCCAAAATCTGTGATTGCGCTTTTGATATGATAGCAATCTTTTAAGACATCACATCATATCTGCATGTTTCTAATGAACCCTATTGCAGCTAATGACAAATTGTAATTGTTTAAGCAGTTACTGGAACTGTTCATTCAGCTTCCGTCAGATTCTTTGTTTGGCCTTCATTGTGTGTCTGCTGACAACTAACAGTGAATATCTTTACTTTCTGCTCTCACAGTGTCCTGTCAGGCAGATTTGTGCTTGCTGTTATAATGGTTTTGAGCCTATCTTTCTGCAATTACAGAGCACATTCAGCCGACTTGAAAAAGAACTTGACAATCTTTTTCAATAGAAGTGCCATTTTATGTCAGAGAATTAAATAAAACTCAAATAAAATGAATTGTCAGAGACTAATAGTTGCTAGCAGATTTTTTTTTAAAATCCATAAATACATATTAAATACTTCCATGACTATAGATTTCCCTTTTTTGCATTTATAACCACTGAAGGTTTTAGAATAGAAGTCAGTGTACTGTTCTGTAAAGTGTGTTTAATTACATTTTATTTATGACTTTGTTACGGCTCTTATAAAATAAACACCCAATTTTTGCTTAGTACAAATCAGTAGACCTTCCCTGAACTAGGAAATTTTTTAAATAAATCTTAATAGTGCCAGATTTGCCCTTCAATTACCCTTTTGTCAGGACACAAGTGTTGGACCTTGACTGTGAACCTAAGGATGCTGATAGCACTCAGGACCCCCCTCGACACTATGAGACAGCTCTGAGATGAGCTTGTCCTTTTGCCTTTGTTGTTTCTGTTGTTGTTTCCTTCTAATTAGCTCGAGTTTCTCCCACGCTCTGACAGGTGGCCAGTCAGCCCCTGCAGATTCATTCGGTACTTTCTCTCCACTGGGAGCATCACACACGAATGAGTCCTCAGGTGAACTGGAGTTTGTGTTTTTCCATCTGCCGAATTATTTTTTTCTTGCGCTGCTCAGAGTGCGAATAGATGTGTGTGCATGTGCTTCCTTCGGATCTACACCTAATTGGGATAGGATGTAAAGAACCTCTTGAAAAATAGATCAGCAAAATACAGCCAAGCAAAGCTAAGTCACAGTATCAGCATTCCAGAGCAGAGCTTGGCAAAAGCTGTGGACTGAATAAATAAGTTCTGCATTTCAATAAATTATCTGTTGTATGAAAAAATAGTTATTTATTAGTGTACCTTGACTTGACATATATTTATGGCTTACATATATTTATTTATGAGTTTTACCTTTCCTTATTACCATACATTAGCATTATTGTATACTGATGTGTGGTATTTAGTTTTTTATCCAGGTATATATTTTTTTTTAATTTTCTTGAAACACATCCTTTTAGTGTTTTATCTGTTGGAACACTAGTTTCAAAATATTTATAGACTAGTTCTGTTTTATAAAAAAACAAAAATGTTGTTGCCTAAAGTGTGTTCAATGTACTGTACAGCACCCTCAGACATACTAGAAGAAAGAAATTTTGTGCTGTGACTCTGATTTTATGTTAACTTCAAATTAAATATTTATTTTTAAATTTAAATCAGGTAATATGTTTTAGTTGACTGTAAACATAAATATAATTCTGGCACATTCTTTTAGCTTAATTCATCCTTATATTGTTTAATAAAGGGCCATTTTCAGCATTGCTGATTCTGAATTCTCAGTGTCCTCATACCAATCTAGCATGTCTTGGTACAATGTATAGTGTCGAGAATTGTTTTAAAGAACTCTTTGTGGAAGGCATTCATTGGACACACTGAAACCCTTATAGTACAGAATGTTATCTGTATGAGGGAGTAGTACACTGAGGAAAATGAAGAGATATGAAAAAACAGAAAATCTGATCTGTATTATTTCTGTTCATTTACATTAGTCTGGCTACTGTACTTCATTTTTTCAGCTGGGTCAATCAGATGTTTTCTTGCATAATGATGTACTTTTAACATTCAATAAATTACTTTCAACTGTTTTTTTTTCTCTTGGGCCACTGCAGTACAGCCTTGTGGCTGTAAATACAGTACACCTGAGAGAGAGCTATTTTCTAGATGCAGAGCATTTTGATTTTGATGCACACAGTTCAGTGATTGTACCTGTAAAGATAAAAAGAGTCTTAGCAGTTAATTCTTTAACGTAAGTAGCTGGAAGTGTCTCCAAACCCAATTGTTAACAAAATAGATATTATGATTTGGTTATTTTTAATAACAGTGGTGCAATGAAAATAATAATCAATAAGACCTGTCTAGCCTAGTCATACAGCATGTGTTCAAAAGTATACATTTGTACAGGACTGTAGTTGTATATGAAGCAAATATTTTTAATTAATGTGTATAGAAATATTTAAAAAATGTTTAACAAAAATGCATTAGGCTAATGGAACATTATGAATAATTAATGAAGAAAAATACAGCTAATTCAGTCTCTATTCAGATGATGCAATTTTCAGGAACCTCTAAGCATCTGTGTGATTCTGAATTATTATTAGACTCATTTGTTGTTTTAGTTCAGTGGTGTTTCACACCAAACACACTCAGCATGTTCAAAAATGAATGTAAAACATTTACATTTGATATTTGCTGTGGGCTTAATTTTTAGGCCTGCAATATTGTTTTAATTAAAGCTACATTTTTGATCGGGTGAGAAAAAGAAGTGGTAAGAGATTCATTGATAATTGTCTTTCAGGAAAACAAGATTATAAGAAAACCAAATCTGTTTTAAGAGCGACAAGATTGAAAGCTGAAGCTAAAAGAAGTGCTTTGGGAATTCGGGTAAGTTGGGGTTTGATACCCTTCATTAACTTTCCTTGCATTGAACACTTTATCCCAAAAGATAAACTGTGTGAATATGGATTTCACTGAGATATTATTTATCACACTTCAAAACCTGAGTGGAATTGCAACATCTTAAATATGTATGAAGTGCAGCTTTTAATGTGGAACATGTTGTTAACCCTCTTAGGACCAGAATATCTTCACCAGAGTGTTGTACAGAATGATTAAGTGTATGAAGAAAGAAATCTGAAATGCAATGAAATGCATTATCCCCTTTTATCAGCTCAAGGTCTGATTTTTTTAAAATAAATAATTGATTCTTCACGCATACAGTTCCAGATGGCCCTCTCTCGTATACATTGCATGTGTATTTCTGGTCATATTAAAAATAAGATGTACAGTACTGCATAAATCTTTTTGTTTTAATTTGACAAGCCTTTTTAAAATGTGACTCGTATATCTAAGTACCTAAGTGGCTTCTACTGATATTTGATTCATTGTTCTGTGTTGCTTGATGAGCTTCAGATAAATTCACTCTTGTGATTAATATACAGTAAATGCAGCATTCTGCCTCTATTTCTAAAATATACAGATATACAGTACAAAGAACATTGTAGAGTGTAGCACTATATGAATTCATTATGACACCATTCCAAGCAATCCCTGCCAGAAATAGCTTGGTTAAGGTATTTGTCTGAACCATTTTTTTAAAGAAGGATGGTGCTACTTCAAGAATTAGAGAAAGAGTTAGCGACTACTTGCAGAGTAAATAATAAGCGTAGAATTAAGTAGGGTGAAACATATTAATTAATTAGATAAGATCGCTTTATTGGCCATATACTGTACAACTTCTTATTTTAGGAATTTGTCTTTTCGCATACGCCAGCTTGCTCTCCATGAGACGCACAGACAGGGAGAGAAGCTTGGTGTCAGAGCGCAGGGTCAGCCATTTATACGGCACCCCTGGAGCAGTTGGGGTTAAGGGCCTTGCTCAGGAGCCCAGCGGAGTTGGATTCCTCTGCCGGCCACAGGATACAAACCAGCAACCTTCCAGCCACAGGCGCAGATCCTGAGCCACAGAGCCACCGCACTGCCCCTGTCATAGTTATCATAGTATATTAATAGTTAATCAATGCCAGTGCCCCCACTATCAGGACATTTCACTGAATTAGTTTATATGGTATAATTTGCTAGTTTGATCCATTCATGCCAGTCCCCCTGCTATATTGCATTTGAATTAGTAGTGATTTCAGAGTTTTCAAAAGCTTAAAGGTGTCCAGCCCTTTTAACATGTCTGTTAAAAGACATAGAGTAAATGAACAATCTAAATGAAATGTCAGTCTTATGAAGACTTTTTTCCAAGTTCCTATCTTTATTTTTTTAAGTTGTGACCAAAACTAAACTATTCTAAATAGAGTTGGACTTTTTTATGTAGTTTACAGTTACACATTTTATATACAGTAGTTCACAATTTTACATTATACAGTTTAACACTACCCAACTTTCTTTTAATGTTGTTTATCAAAGCATTTGAACTAGTTTATCAAATTGTATTCATGAGATCATTTCCAGGTCAACCTAAAAACAACAATTTTTTACTTGGTATCATTTATCATGTGTTAGAAAGAGCAGTGGTCCTAAAACTGATCCCTGTGGTACACCACTAACTACCTCAACTCATGGTATTATTTGTCTAATTTCAAATACTTTTTTCTTTATATTCTCCATTACAGATGCATACTGTACATTTCACAGTGGTTCTGATTATTTGAGTTGAAGAATAAACATTCCATGTTAATGTTTTCTGTTAGTTGGTTAGGTAGCCCATTTCCTTTTTTTGCTTTTTGAGAGGATGATAGTTCCATAGTTTTTACTATGTAAATTCTGCTTTATGGATTGGCAATTTTTTTTTTGTGAGTGAATATAATTTCTAACTAATCTGTGACCCTGGTCCCTGTACTAGTTGTGATTTACTTATATTGAAATCTGTGCAGATTCAAATAGACTCTTTGTAAACAAGGCCATTTTGTATTTTTGTTGTCAAAACCTGTAGAAAGTTTTCACCTAGTACATTTGGCATTGTATTGCATATTTCACACTACATCTTTGTTATTTAAACTTACAGTTCAGTGTCCTGTTTGGTTTCCTGCTATTTGTCAGGTTTGCATATTTGACAGAAGGTCTTATTTGAATACTTTGTTCCCCAAATCTGCAGTTGCAACAGTATTTATGAATAAGCTTTACTTCCCTTTTGGGCACTCTTTCGGTACTCAGCATTATGTCTATTAAATACAAAACACCTATCATCTTATTCACCTTCTGGAATCTTGTCCCAGATCTGTCGATACTTTCCAGCAAAGTCTGATTTTTTACGTTTGCTACTTTTCTTTTTAAAATAAATTATGATGATCTTAAAATTTGCTTCCCCCAGTTTCTGTTGATTTCATTGTGCTGTTGCCTGAGAAAACGATGCCTAGGAGGATGTCATCTTCAAGGGGGCATGAACAGACTGGGTTAGAAAGCCAGTGTTGCCCAGTTCCACTGTTTTGATTTCAGCAGAGGGGAATGTAATTAATGCAGATTCAGAGGATAACAGCGCTGAAATGAGGAATGTTCTACTTGCTTATCCATAAAGAATGAACTACTTTAAGCAACGTACAACATGATAGTGGGAGCATTTCCTAGTATTCACTACCAACAACCCCCAACCCCCCCCTCCAGCCCCTACTCCTTTCACATTGCAAATGTGCATTAATGCACTCATGAATACTGTACTGTAGCTCTTCCTAGGATTCCCGAGAGATCTTCTAGCAGGCTTGCCACAAATCACATGTGCAGGGCCTTAAAGATATTCTGTCTAATTAAATAACCCCACAACATTCAGCACATTTTATGCTATAGAATTAAAACTTAGAACATATCATGCTACAATATGTTTAATCCTTTCTCTTAAGCACAAACATACAGGTCGAAATTGCACCACAACTTAGTAACAAAGAGAAATCAATGCATTTTTTAATTAAATTGGCAAGCACAATAAAAATAGCGTATCACATCTCGACTATATATGGTTTTGCTTAGGCTATGATACAATGTAGAGCTTTACCAGTATTCAGAACTTTAATTATGTGTAATTATAATTATTAATTATATTAATTAATTTTTTGTATTTTTTAGTTCAAAGTAAGACTGGAACTTTGCTTCTAAATCAAGTTTAATACACTTATTCTTTCAAGGTCTTGGAATTGTTAATGACCAAGTAGTGGGGCCATGTATGATTTTGGTTTTGTATCTCATTTGAAGGACAGTTGCTCCTGTAAAACAGTGAATTCTGGTCCAGAGATAAGAGCACCTCCTAGTGGTCCATCAAGAGTGGCCATTAAGAGGTCTCCTGTCTCAGTAATAACCAAGTCCATCCTTGCTTGGATCTTTGTCAATAAGATACAGATGACAAAGTAAATCTGTTTATATGTTTCTCTCTATACTCTGTACAAGTTAGGTTCTATGAATTTTAATACTGCAACATACATTATAATATTCGTGTACCTTTCTAATTGTATAATAAAGGTAAAAAAAAAAATATTTATTCTACTAAACACCAGTCCCTTCTCTTCTCACAATCTCTTAACCTGTAACATTGTATTTAGATTGTTAGTTTGTTATCATTTAAATTGGTTCTTTGATACAAAACAGTTTGGTAAAACTATCGTTCTCTGTATTCCTTTTGCCTCTCATTGTATATTTTTATTTCATAGTGCACAGTTTTGCCTAAGGGAGGCCTGTGGAAATTTGCATTTGGAATAATTGCTAACAAGCTCAAAAGAAAACCTTTGCCAGTATCTCTTAACCTTAATCTATAAACTCAGATGATCCTATTGTAGCAGTATAAAGCTTTTGGCAGTAATCACCATTTTTTTCCTATAAAGTTATTACTTATCCGCGTAACTGACGAGAACACTTAACATATAAGCATGGCATGGTTTTGTCTGTCTAGTCAAGACTGTGCTTAAGGTACTGTCAGTATGTGTTGTTGCGTTTGAGTTTTCTCTGCTTTGTGCGGATCATTCCATTTTCACCGTGCTGCTAAATCAGTGCATCATACAGAAATCAGTAGTGCACTGCAAATTGTCAAGTCTTAATTTTTTCTGTAGACATAAAATTTAAAATGTTTGCTCTCAGCATTCTTTGAGCAAATATACTCAGTATTTTATTTCACCAAAGGGTGTGGACGTATTACAGTATGTCACAAACGGTCTTGGTGTATTAATGGAATCTTCTTGCTGATGAATCATTGTATAATTTTCACTCATAATCCTTCTGAGCACAGAATGTCTGTTCTATTTTAATAGCTTTGCAAAAATTAACTTTGGTTGAAGGTAATCACAAATTGTTTTTATTTCCCTTTAAACAAAATTTGTCCAGTGGTAGAAAATCCTGAAAAGTGCACCATATCTCTTAATAGAAGTTCAGAGAGTCACTGAAAGGTTATCAATTGTTGGCTTTAGAATTATTTTTTCCTAGACAGGGTCTGTTTAAAAAATGTCAGAGGCATTGAGCCTTTGCTAATCAACTGAAACTGTCTAACTCACTAGGCCTAATTACTGTATGTTTTCTTTTCTTTTCAGGATACAAAAATTTCATTTAATGTTTTCTTTAATCAAAGTTAGATATCTAGATTGCTATTAAATGTTTCCTGAAATATTTATTTAGAGAATGCCTAAATTATTTATAAACACCACATGGAAAAACATCATATCTCAAATATTTAGATAGGAATATTAGATTAGGGATATAGAGTGCATACACTGCATATTTAAATCTTGATGTGTCATTAAATACCCTTCGGATCGGTTCTGCTGTGAGATGGTACTGCATTCAAGAGCCCTAACCCTTACCATTCTGTCAGAGGTGTCTCGTGGACTAAATTGCAGTATGAAGTGGATGGATCACACAGTGATAGTGATTGTGTATCTCAATTTTATATTCCTTTAGAGAAA